GTTAAATTGTTTGGTGTTGCCTTTAGAGAGAGAGAGAGAGAGAGTCAGTGTTGTAAGGACTGTTTTATATCGCACGTTTACTAATATATGTAATCTAATATGTAAAAGAATATATAAAACAGTTATATACGGTATAATATAAATATATTATATGATGGGTGGAAACAATTTAATAAGTGTTTACCCCCACAAAAAAATAGTCAAAGTTTGGCTTGAGTTTTAAGTTTTCAGTTTAATGTTAAAAGTGCAGTAAGTCACCAGGAGGCGACACACACTCATACATTTATATGACAAATGCCAAGTGGCGGTGCCTTCCCCCTCCCCCGTCTAGTGGTCCAGAGCCTGATAGATGGTGTGTGTGTGTGTGTGTGTGTGTGTGTGTGTGTGTGTGTGTGTGTGTGTGTGTGTGTGTGTGTGTGTGTGTGTGTGTGTGTGTGTGTGTGTGTGTGTGTGCTAACAGGATCAAGACTGTATGGCCATTAGTTTTCATATACACTAAATGTCAACCTTAGAGGGAAAAAACCTTGACTATTCATTCATTCATTCATACCTGCTCCCCCACCCTCCTCCTAACCCCCTGTAGGAGACGCAGTAGTAAGAGGGCGTCACATTATCCCACTACCACCTCCAGGAACACTCGACCTTAAGCTATGACACCCACACACCATGATAATAAGGTTAGCCGGACGTAAATACCCGGGTGTCCTGCCCTCCACCACCATAACAACCCTTACTGCCGGGGACTGTAAGGCTCAGAGTACCTCCTCACGTCTCAGCTGGGTGTAAAAAAAAAAGGGTGTTTTAAGGTGTTTGTGGTGGACGCTGCTCTATATATATGTATACGTGGTCGGGTCTGGAGGCAGCTGACTGATGGTAATTGTGCAGCCTCGCTACCCTCCACTTTAATTCATATATTAACGTTTCTTTGGGGAGTTAATGGATATTTGCATGCTTCGTGGCGGGGAGGTTGTGGGAAGGGCGCGGTTATGTGGGTGGGAGGGTGTTGGTGGCGGTTGATTATTTATCACTGTGATACAGAGGTAAAGGGACCGGTATTCATTCCTCCTTTAGGTATGACATCTCTCTCTCATGTTTACCTCAGGTTGTGTTCGTCGTAAAGTTAGATGAATGAAAATTTACGGGACCTTTTGGAAAAACTGACTAGCCATGCATGTATTTTATTATGCTGTTCCTATGTATGTAAACTTCCCTTTATGTGTGTGTGTACGTACATGGTGATGAAGTGTTGTCGTGTGTGTGTGTGTGTACGTACATGGTGATGAAGTATTGTCGTGTGTGTGCGCGTCTGTGGTCTATACATGGTAGTAGGCTCTTGAATGGTGTTTTGTGTATGTGTGTGAAATGGTATACATACATGAATAAAGTACTACACACACACACACACACACACACACACACACACACACACACACATAGCGTCTCAAATAGTCTCGTTATAATAATTTATAGAATTTAATTTACATATGACTGTTATACAGCTTCTCTCTCTCTTCTTCTTCTCTCTCAGGGCCACCATGCCAGAGCCCGAGAGGGGGGGTACCACGGGCCAGGGTCCCCACACTTTATGGGTCAGCCTACATTATGGGGACCCCTATTGTATGTATGTTTCCACACGTTTTGACCCCTTTATGAGGATTCTGTAACCAATGGCTCCTTCGTATCCTATGAGTTGTATCCTTCCCTTTCCTTCCCATTCCTTCATTCATCCTTCACATCCCTTTTTCCCATATCCTTCCCTCTTCTCTGGTACCCTTCTCTCCCCTTTAATCCTTCATATCCATCTTCTCATCCCTCCCTCTTCTTTGCTCCCTTTCCTTCCATTCCTTCTTTATCCTCTCCTCTCCCCCAACAAACGCCCTTACCCCTACAAGGATGGATCACCGACTCTCCACACTGATCCCGCTGTTGTTGACTCACTCTTCCACTAAGTAATTAATACCACGGGCCAGGGTCCCCACACTTTATGGGTCAGCCTACATTATGGGGACCCCTATTGTATGTATGTTTCCACACGTTTTGACCCCTTTATGAGGATTCTGTAACCAATGGCTCCTTCGTATCCTATGAGTTGTATCCTTCCCTTTCCTTCCCATTCCTTCATTCATCCTTCACATCCCTTTTTCCCATATCCTTCCCTCTTCTCTGGTACCCTTCTCTCCCCTTTAATCCTTCATATCCATCTTCTCATCCCTCCCTCTTCTTTGCTCCCCTTCCTTCCATTCCTTCTTTATCCTCTCCTCTCCCCAACAAACGCCCTTACCCCTACAAGGATGGATCACCTACTCTCCACACTGATCCCGCTGTTGTTGACTCACTCTTCCACTATGTTGGCTCTTGACACACATGTCCGTCTGGGCCATATTAGTTTGTGCTCGGGTACTCGGTAAGTTACTCTGGACTTAGTGTGTTAACTTTAGGTCTGGTGTGAAGTGCATCATGCATGGCCGAGTGTGTTGCTACTTCAAGTGTGTTACTGGTATTGAGGTGATCACCGGTATCTAACATTCCAGTGAGGCCTTTTTTATACTATTTCACCTGTTTTAGTTCAGAGTTTGTTGTATTTCGTTATTGTCTAAACTCTAAAAGTATCGTAAGGTCAGTCCAGCACCAGTATTTGGGAGAGTTTTAATTACAAAAGAGGTAGGCTTCCGTCTTTCTCAAATGTCATGAGATTCTGGAAAGTTTGATCATCGCTGGCTAAAGGTTGACGGTATTGCAGCTGTCAGGTTGGCTGTTGGCTGTTGGCTGTTGGTTGATATAACGTAAATTTCAGCTTGGATCACTTTTTGTTTGTGTTTTAAATTTTTGTTGACAGGAAACTACCTTAGTCCACAGTCCGGATCTTATAAGTTTCTAATTAAATACCTCCTCTTAGCACCAGCAATGAGACAAAATTTACATACTGAATTTTCCTAAAGAATATGTATGTTAATTTTGTCTCCTAACTGGTGTTTAATGAGTACAATGAAGGTATAGTCCCAGTGTAATTGTAGGCGTTATTGTGTGTTATTATTGTAAGTTCACCGGATAGGTAGTTACGGTTGTTAAATAGCTCTGGTCATTAGGTAGTTACACTTGTTAAATATCTTGAAACTGTTAATAAGGAGAAGTATATTATAGGTCACCAACCCAATCAATTGTTCTAATACTTATAAATTGTATAATATCTATGGGTAAAGCAGTCAGGTGTGTTGGGAAGATATACACGACTAATTGCTCAACACACCTGAATTTTTGGACATGTATAGGAGTTGAGAGTTGGCCTGACAAACACACACGAGTTACAAAAAAGTATAGTCAAGTTTGTTTTTCTTTTTAGCTGACTATACTAGGCTGTCCCCTTCTCCGAAAGCGTGAATTTCTAAGTGACTTCGGTGGTATAAAGTCTTTATTTCAAACTAGATTTTCCACTTATATCTTAAAAGTTTGTATTTTCAAGCAGTTATATCTTTACATACAATAAATTCAGCATTAAAATGAACCAGAATTGGGTATCCTTAAGTTATTAATGAAATGCGATAAATCAATATTAATCGAACATTATATGTGAGTCAATGAGCTGTAAAGGGGAGCGAGTCATTATCACACAGGGGGGAGTATGGGGAGGCCACCAGAAGTCATCTTGGTGGTAAACATTGCATGATGATCTTGTAGAGGGAAAGACACAGTTAACGAGATATTGGACACATAAGAACTGGTTAATAAGGTCTTGGAAGGGTAAGAAGACTATGTGAGCAGAGGATCAAGGCGAAGTAACGATCAATTAACATGTGAGAGTCACTTAAATCAAGATCTATGAGGGTTAAGAACATCGTATTTTGACCCTAATGTATGTAAGTAAATGTTAATCGGATTTTGGAGAGTTGAGAGCCAATTAAGTCCATCTGTCAGACAGCGAGGGAGGCAGGTGGCTTAGGAGCGATGGTTTGGCTTGCTGTCTTATCTACCATTCTCTTGCATCTTACGCAATTTGCCTGATAGGACTGTGGCCCATTTGATGAGGGCCTGATAGGACTGTGGCCCATTTGATGAGGGCCTGATAGGACTGTGGCCCATTTGACCTCCGCCCAAGATAAACGACCTATCTGTATCGGCTCTACACTTCTCAACAGAGTTACTACACTGGATGACTCAGGTGTAGCTGCGGCTCTACACTTCTCAACAGAGTTACTTCACTGGATGACTCAGGTGTAGCCGCGGCTCTACACTTCTCAACAGAGTTACTTCACTGGATGACTCAGGTGTAGCCGCGGCTCTACACTTCTCAACAGAGTTACTTCACTGGATGACTCAGGTGTAGCTGCGGCTCTACACTTCTCAACAGAGTTACTACGCTGGATGACTCAGGTGTAGCTGCGGCTCTACACTTCTCAACAGAGTTTCTACACTGGATGACTCAGGTGTAGCTGCGGCTCTACACTTCTCAACAGAGTTACTACACTGGATGACTCAGGTGTAGCTGCGGCTCTACACTTCTCAATAGAGTTACTACACTGGATGCCTCAGGTGTAGCCGCTTAGCTGTGTTGTGGTGGTGACGTCACTCACCTGTGGCCGCTGCTGGATACTATTACCAGTTTGTTTTCATCTTTCTGTTGTAACGTGAATTGGTCTGATTTGTTTCTCTCTCTCTCTCTCTCTCTCTCTCTCTCTCTCTCTCTCTCTCTCTCTCTCTCTCTCTCTCTTTCCACCCTCACTGACTCCCTAACGGATTATTTTTTTTCTGTTTTGTAAACACACACACACACACACACACACACATTTTAAATGTTGCATTATTCGTCTGTGCATTTGCTTTCATTTTGTGTGTGTGTGTGTGTGTGTGTGTGTGTGTGTGTGTATAATTGTTCTTTTCCTGATGTATACTCGACCTCACACATCGTACTCGACAATCATTGAGCAATTAACAATTAGAAGACAATTGAAAGTACTGTACAATCAACATACCGTGCCTCAACCTTTCTGCCATAATACACTCAGCCCCCGCGGCGCACTCAGCCCCATGACGCACTCAGCCCCCACGACATACACGGCCCCGCGACGAACTCAGCCCCCACGCGACGCACTCAGCCCCGCGACGCCACGGCACCCGCGACGCACTCAGCCCCGCAACACCTCCGCTCTCGCGACGCCTCAGCCCCCGCGACACCTCGGCCCCCCGCGACGCACTCGGCCCCCCGCGACACCTCCAGCCCCCCGCAACACCTCCCAGCTCCCGCGACGCCTCCAGCTCCCGCGACCTTGCACTCCGGCACCGTGACACACTCCGGCTCCGCGACACCTCCAGCTCGCGACACTCAGCTCCGCGACACGCGCTCGACCCTCGCTGACGCACTCCAGTTCCGCGACGCACTCAGCCCCACCGACGCACTCAGCCCCGCGGCGTACTCAGCCCCCGCGACACACTCACTTCCCACGACGCACTCAGCTCCTGGCTTACTCAGCCCCCCGCGACACACTCAGCTCTCGCGACGTGCCGGCCACCAACACACTCACCTCTCGCGACGTACCGGCCACCGCGAACACACTTCCGTGAGCGCACTCCTAGCCCCGCGACACACCGGCATGGCGCACTCAGCTCCGCGACGCACTCAGCCCCACGACACTCCCAGCACCCGCGACGCCTCAGCCCCGCGACGCACTCAGCCCCGCGACGCACTCAGCCCCCACGCGACACACACTCCAGCACCCGTGACGCACTCAGCCCCCGCGACACACTCAGCCCCGCGACGCACTCAGCACCCGTGACGCACTCCAGCGCGCCAGCTCCGCGACCTCAGCCCCCACGCACTCAGCCCCCGCAACACACTCAGCACCCGTGACGCACTTAGCCCCCGCGACGCACTCAGCCCCCGCGACGCACTCAGCCCACTCGACATTCGGTAAATATATTGGAATACCTACAATACCTTCAGCATTACATTCTACATTACATTCGACCTTTGAAAGTGTATAATGACCTTAGACACGACATTGGAAATTCGACCATATAATCGATATTTGACAGTGTATTGAATCATCCAAAATATTCGACCTTCAGTAATATATTTGACAATGTAATCGACATACGGCAATATATTCGACATAATGTCGACATCAACAGTTCATCCAATATTCGACAATGCATCTGACCTCAGACAATGCATTTTATATTTACAGTGCTTCTGACGTTCAACTCTTCAATAGATATTCGACAATGCACTCAACAATATATTCGATCATTCATAATATATTCGACCATCTACAATACATTCTATCTTCGACAATATATTCTATCTTCGACAATATATTCGACCTTCGACAATAGTTCCTGAAATTCAACAATAGATCCGACATTCAACAATAGATCCGACATTCGACAATATATTCGACCGTCGACAGTTCCAACATTCGTCAATAGATCCGACATTCGACAACATATTTGACTTTCGACAATAGATTCGACCATCGACCATATATTCGACCATCGACAATAGTTCCGAAATTCAACAAGATCGGACATTCAACAATAGATTCGACATACAACAATAGATTCGACACGCGACAGTATATTTGACCTTCGACAATAGATCCGACATTCGACAATAGAACCGACATTCAACAATAATTCCGACATTCAACAATAGATTCGACACGCGACAGTATATTTGACCTTCGACAATAGTTCCGACATTCGACAGTATATTCGACCGGCCCCAAGTCCCCAGTGGCGTCCTGAGGGAGTGGACCAAAGGGAAGGTGTCAGCCGAGGTGCTAACTTAATTACACTCAGGTAGCCCGGCTGTCCCCTCAAGCTTGGCCTGCATTAATGTGTCGGCCTGCCTCCTCCCCTCACTCTGGTCCCCTCACTCTGGTCCCCTCACTCCACCTCACCCTGGTCCCCTCACTCTGATCCACTCTCCCTTCACCCTGGTCCCGTCACTCTGATCCACTCTCCCTTCACCCTGGTCAATTCACTCCCCTCACTCTGCTTGATTCCCCTCACTCTGCTTGACTCACTCCCCTCACTGCTTGACTCCTTTAACTCTGCTTGACTTCAATTTTCCGTTTGATCTAATTCTTTTAAACCGTTTTGCTCTGTCCTCAGCTGAGTCACCACCACTACAGCATCAATACCACCACAGCATCATCACCCTACAGCATCATCACCACCATGCCAACATCATCACCACTTCAGCATCATCACCCTCACAGCATCATCACCTCAGCATCATCACCACCTCAGCACCATCACCACCACAGCACCATCAACACCACCATGGCATCATCACCCCCTCAGCACCATCACCACCACAGCATCATCACCCTCACAGCATCATCACCCCCACAGCACCATCACCACCACAGCATCATCACCACCTCAGCACCATCACCACCACAGCACCATCACCACCACAGCATCATCATCACCACCACAGCATCATCACCACCACAGCATCATCACCACCTCAGCACCATCACCACCACAGCACCATCACCACCACAGCATCATCATCACCACCACAGCGTGTTGTCTAGACTACTACATGGTGGGTTTGCATGTGTGAAAGTTTTCATTCATCAAAATTCAAAACTTTCAGCTGTTAGGTTAGGTTAGATTAGGTTAGGTTAGGTTACGTTAGGTTATGTTAGGTTAGGTTAGGTTTGGTAAGGTTAGGTTAGGTTAGGTTAGGTTAGATTAGATTAGATTAGGTTAGGTTAGGTCAGGTTAGATTAGATTAGGTTAGGTTAGGTTAGGTTAAGAGTTTGAAGCCTCGTAACAGTTGAATATATTTTTCTGGCGGCTTGAGGGAGTTAGAGGCAGCATGGTGTGGTAATACTGCATAACTCTCGCTGGTACAGAGGTGTTGACGTAAGGCTGGCCAAGGTATTATTATTATTAGTATTATTATTATTCCTTCTATGTAATACTTCCTCTGTGCATTCCTCCCTCTGCATTATTCGCTCTACATTCCATATGCATTCTTCCTCTATGCATATTCATTGTTCTCTGTGTATTGTTTCCCTTTATGTATTGTTCCCTCTGTGCATTCTTCCCTCATTTATTCTTCTTCCTATGCATTCTTCTCTGCGCATTCTTCCCTTTACACATTCCTCCTACGCTTTCTTCACCTTTTGAATTCTTTCTCTTTACGTTCTTCCCTATATTCATTCGCCTCTTTTTGCATTTTTCCTTCTGTTCATTCTTCCCTTTACCCATTCTTAAATCTCCGCATTTTCCCTCTACACATTCTTCTCTCTGTGCATTCTTTTCCCTCTTTGCAGTCTTCGCTCTTTGCATTCTTCCCTCTACATTCTTCTTACTATGCATTCCTCTTTCTATGCATTCTTCCCACTATGCATTCTTGTCTACGCATTCGATCCTCTACGCATTCTTCCCTCTATTCATTCTTCCCACTATGCATTCTTCTCTATGCATTCTTCCCACCATGCATTCTTCCCTCTATGGATTCTTGTCTACGCGTTCAATCCTCTCCGCATTATTCCCTCTGTGCATTCTTCCCATTATGCATTCTTTTCTATGCATTCTTCCCACTATGCATTCTTCTCTCTGAATTCTTCCCACTATGCATTCTTCCCTCTATGCATTCTTGTCTACGCATTCAATCCTCTACGCATTATTCCCTCTATGCATTCTTCCCACCATGCATTCTTATCTTTGCATTCTTCCCACTATGCATTCTTCTCTATGCATTCTTCCCACCATGCATTCTTCCCTCTATGGATTCTTGTCTACGCGTTCAATCCTCTCCGCATTATTCCCTCTATGCATTCTTCCCACTATGCATTCTTATCTATGCATTCTTCCCACTATGCATTCAATCCTCTCCGCATTATTCCCTCTATGCATTCTTCCCACTATGCATTCTTATCTATGCATTCTTCCCACTATGCATTCTTCTCTGCATTCTTCCCACTATGCATTCTTATCTACGCATTCAATCCTCTACGCATTATTCCCTCTATGCATTCTTCTCACTATGCATTCTTGTCTCTACGTGTTCAATCCTCTACGCATTATTTCCTCTATGCATTCTTCCCACTATGCATTCTTCTCTCTGTGCAGTCTTCCCCCTATGCATTCTTCCCACTATGCATTCTTCCCACTATGCATTCTTCTCTATTCGCATCTACGCATTCTTCCATCTATGCATTCTTCCCACTGCATTCTTCCGTCTATGCATTCTTCCCACTGCATTTTTCCCATTCTTCCCTATGCATTCTTCCCTCTCTGCATTCTTCCCTCTACGCATTCTTCCCTCCGTGCATTGTTCTTCCGTGCATTGTTCCCTCAATGCATTCTTCCCTCTATACATTCTTCTCTCTATGTATTCTTCTCTCTATGCATTCTTCCCACTATGCATTCTTCTCTACGCATTCAATCCTCTACGCATTCTTCCATCTATGCATTCTTCCCACGATGCATTCTTCCCTCTATGCATTCTTCCCTCTGTGCATTCTTCCCTCTATGCATTCTTCCCACTGCATTTTCTTCATCTTAATTCTAGCCATAAATTTTGTGAATTAAATATAATGTTTTGTGTTTGTTTGTGTCCAGTTTGTTCATGGTTTGTTTGTTTTGGGTTTGTTTGTCTTGTTTGTTTGTCTAATGTTTATTTGTCCTGCGTTTCAACCTTATGGTGCTCCTCTTCTTCCTCCTCCACCTCCTCTTCCACCTCCCCTTCCACCTCCTCTTCCACCTCCTCTTCCTCTTCTTTGTCCTTTTGTTATTTTAATCACCATTTTTCTTCACATAGCCTCCAGCAGGGGAGACTTCACACTTCATAATTTCTTCCCTCCCTCGTGTGTATGACTCCCTCTACCCTCCCTCCCTCGTGTGTATGACACCCTCCACCCTCCCTCCCTCGTGTGTATGACTCCCTCCACCCTCCCTCCCTCGTGTGTATGACTCCTCCCTCGTGTGTATGACTCCCTCTACCCTCCCTCCCTCGTGTGTATGACACCCTCCACCCTCCCTCCCTCGTGTGTATGACTCCCTCCACCCTCCCTCCCTCGTGTGTATGACTCCCTCTACCCTCCCTAATCCCCTGCTTCAGCTGTCTGTCTGCCCCTCCCCCTCCCCTTGACCCTCCCTTAATTCCCTCCCCATCCCTTCTCCTTGTCCCCCTCCCTCTCCACCGTCCACTGCCTTTCCTCCCCTTTCTTGCCCTACCCTCTCCCCTTTCCTACCCTACACCCTGCCCTTCCCCCTTCCCTTTCCTGCTCTTTTCTCCCTTCCAGTCCCTTCCCTCACCCTTCCCTGTCCTTCCCTCTCCTCTTTCCTGCTCTACCCTTTCCCCTTTCCTGTCCCTCCCCTTCTGCCTCCCCGTCCACCGCCTCGCCTCATAGTCACCATTACCACCACTAAGGGACACATAGCTGAGGTAATGCACCATGACACAGCCGTAACAGTATATAGTGCCTCGCCTCCTTCCCTCCCTCTTTACCTGACTCACATGTCTGCCTCACCTTCCTCTCTACCTGCCTCACCTGTCTGTCTCACCTGCCTACCTCACCTGCCTACCTCGCCTGTCTGTCTTATCTGCCTACCTCACCTGCCTATCTCGCCTGTCTGTCTTACCTGCCTACCTCACCTGCCTGTCTTACCTGCCTATCTGCCTCACCTGTCTGTCTTATTCTCTCCCTACTTCACTTCCCTCCATTCTTACCTCACCTGTCTCCCTCTCCTCCTTCCTTATACTTCCTTTCCTTCCCTTCTTGACCTGATCTCCCTCTCTGCCCTCAGC